AACTGAGTCTCTTGTAGGGAGCATATGTAAGGGTCTCATTTTCTTGTTAATTCAGCCACCCTATCTTCTGATTGGAACATTTAATACATTTACATTTAAAGTAATTTTTGGTAGATATATAGGTATTGCCATTTTATTATTCATATTTTTTTCTTTTTTTCTTCTTAAAGAAGTCTCTTTAACATTTCCTGTAATACTGTGTTGGTGATGATGAACTCCTTTATATTTTTCTTGTCTGGGAAGCTCTTTATCTGTCCTTTGACTCTAAAAGATAGCTTTGCTGGGTAGAACTAAACTTGGTTATAGATTTCATCACTTTGAATATTTCCTGCCAACCCCTCTGGCCTACAAAGTTTCTGTTGAGAAATCAGCTGTCACATGGGAGCTATATTGTAGGTAACTGCTATTCTCTTGCTGCTTTTCAGATTCCCTCTTTGTCTTTTACCTTTGGCATTTTAATGATGATGTGTCTTGGTGTGGACCTCTTTGGATTTATCTTGTTTAGGACTTTCTGTGTCTCCTGGGCTTGCATATATATTGCCTTCACCAGATTAGGGAAGGTTTCAGTCATTATTTCTTCAAATAATTTTTCAATTCCTTGCTCTCTCTCTTCCTCTTCTGGTATCCCTACGATATGAATGTTGGTACACTTGATGTTGTCCCAGAGGCCCCTTAAGCTATATTCATTTTTTTTTTTTTTTGGTGGGAGATGGATTCTTTTCTCTTGTTGCTGTTCCGATTGGGTGTTTTCTGCTACCTTATCTCCTAAATCATTGATTTGATTCTCCATTTTATCTAATCTATGGTTAATTGCTCCCAAAGTATTCTTCATTTCAGTTCTTGTACTCTTCACTTTTGACTGGTTCTTTTTTAGTTCTCCATCTCTACTTCTATGTTTTCTATGTCTTTGTTAAAATTCTCACTGAGTTCGTCTACCCTTTCCCTGAGTTCATTGAGCATCCTTATAACCAGTGTTTTGAACTCTGCATCTGTTAGATTGCTTTTCTCCGTTTTGTTCAGTTTTTTTTTTTTTTTTGAACTTTGCTCTGTTCTTTCATGTGGGACATTTTTCTTTGTCTTCCTGTTTTGGATGGCTACTTGCATTTGTTTCTATGTATTACATAGGGCTGATATGTTTCCCAGGCTTAGTAGAGTGGCCTTATATAGTAATAATGATCTGGGTCCCAGTGGCACAGTCTTCCCTGGTCACCTGAGCTAGGTGTTCAGGGTCTGTCCCTTACATGGATTGTGTGTATCCTCCTTTTGTAGTTGAGCCTTGGTTGCTGTTTGCACATCATGGGAGGGATTTACCCTCAGGCTGATTGGTTGTGAGGACTGGCCATGACCAGTGAAGTGGCTTTTTCCAGAGGCTGATCCTCCAAAGCAGTATTTGCTTTAGCAGAGCTCTTGTGCCTGCCCTGTTTGCCCTTTGGGAGTGTTGTCCTCAGATGTTACCCAAGGCGATGCTCTGTCTCAGATTGAAGCTGACCACCCAGAGTGCATGCCAGGGCCTCCTGGGAGGGGCCCTGCCACAGTCCAAATTCAGCTCCAGCCTGTGTCCTACCCGGGGATACCTGGCATGAGCCACCAAGTATTTTGCAGATGGTTGCCACCAACTCCGGGCTTAGAAATCCCTTAAGATGCCAAGTCACAAGCTGAAGTCAGCTGCCACTAAATCTGGGCTTGGGGCTGCTCAGCAAGAGGTACGGAGCATGCTGAGGCCATGTGGCTTGTTTAGATTTTGTGAACCTTTGAGAGATTTTAAGAAATTCTGCAGCATGAGCCAACACAAGCGGTGTGTATGGAAAAGCCACTGGAAGCGACTCCTGTGGGCCTACATGTGGGGAGGGGCAGGATCACAGGGAATCACCAGTTCTGGGTGACCAGTGTTAGGTTGCTGTAGACTCAGATATGGTACTGCCTGAGTCTGCAAGCCGGGAGAGGGGAGGGCTCAACAATAGAACAGAGCCCGCTGCTAGCACTTCTGTCTGGGAGAAAGCTGCCCCTCTAGCCCTCGTCCTCGCATCAGACAACTCAGTTCCTCCCCATATATCCCATTCAAGTTTCTTCCCCAGACCTGAAGCTCAGAGCAAGTGAATCTGTCACTGAGTATGCGATCCTTTACCTCTCCATCTCACTCTGTCCCAATCTCCACTGGTTTATACAGCCAGAAGTTGTAGGGACTTCCCTTCATGGCACTGGAACCTTGGGCTGGGGAGCCTGGTGTGGAGTCGGGATCCTTCGCTCTTCCAAGGGGTTCTCTGCAGCCAAGAAATTTCTCCTGATTCTCAACTGCCATATGCAGGTGTAGGACCAGCCCATTTTGCTTCTTTGTCCTTCCTATCAGTCTCGAGATGGCCTCTTCTTTGTGTCCTCAGTTGTAGGACTCTTGTTCAGCTAGACTTTAGGTGACCCCCAATGATGAGTATTCTGTAGTTTAGTTGCAATTTTATGTGGCTGTGACAGAAGGCAAGCACAATATTTACCTATTCCATCATCTTGGCTGGAAAATGAAGTAATTTCTTGAATCTGAGTTCTAGAGATGTGCTGCAATTAGCTTGTATCAGCTCATAAGGGTAGATTGTGTATATATATCTTCCCAACTCCACTTTCATTGACTTCAAGTTGGTAGCTTGAAATTGGACATGGTGGATGTATTTATATTATGGGAATCATCAAATGCCACAACCAGGGCTCTCTTTCTTCCTTTGCCACCTAAAGCTTATTATTAAATATTTACTAGCACATCACATTGCTGGTTAATGCTGTCAGTTCATCCTCTGGGGACAATAAGGAATCTCAACAAAAGAGTTGTCAATTCTGATTTTTATATAAAAAAGAAACATAAGTTTCATCTGTAGGTTTTCAGTCTAGAACTAAAATTATAGTATAGGCAAAGTATACCTTCCTTATGCAAACTGCATGGGTGACAGGTCATGGAGTCTATGTGGTTTTAAAATTGTAAGCACTTATATGCAAACTCTCCAAAGATCAAGGGCAATGGGACTCTAGAAATGACTTCAGAAGTAAATGGCTCCTTCTTATAAGACTAGAGCAGAACATATACTCACAGAAATAAGAAACTTTGTTTAACAAAGCAAAACAGCAATAACAAAAACACCGACTATCCCCAAGTATTCCTAAAGAAGAATCAACTGTGACAAGATAGAAAAAATAAAGTATATACTAATGAGTATAGGTTTAGTTTTGGTGTGATGAAAATGTTCTCAAATTAAATACTGTTGATGGATTGAACAAATTTGTGAATATACTAAAAAAGTCTACACATTGAAAGGGTGAATCTCATGGTATGTGACTTATATCTCAATAAATTTGTCAGTAAAAAAAAAGGATATATTGGAGAACAACAACAATGCAGGTTCAAAGGAAAGTTAGAGAAATACATTTTCACAAGTTTACTGAATATTTGGCTTACATTGATATATAGTGCATTGTTAACGTCACAGAAGAGTATTTTTCAGTGAAAAAGTATCAAGAGTCAAAAGACGTAAGCATTTTTTTTCTGAAAGAATAATCAACCATTAAATTAAAAATAGGGAACAAAACTTTACCAAATAAATTAGATCATTACTTAGCATACATTACTTAGCATACATATTATTCAACTTGAGGTAATTGGAGGCACAGGGAATAAAGGATTAAAAAAGGTAAGTTAAACAAGTTCCTCTTAATTTGCAAATGGTGATCAGTTCCCTAAATGACAGGGGTAGCTGCTAAGCAAAGGGCAATATTTATTGTTGCATAGAGTGGAATCGACTATTTTTCTTATGTCAAAAAAATTTAGTCATATTTCATACAGAGTTATTATGTGTCTGTTAATGTTGACTTATTTTTAATGAGAGAGTGTTTAGCATTCCTCTTTATATAGCCCTATATCTGAAGCAGTGATTCTTAAATTGGGAGATTATAAAGTTTATCTCAGGAGCTTATATTGTCAAAATTCTGACATTTCACCTAAGAGGTCATCTCTCCTTCCCCCAGAACTGCCTTTATTACAGATGAGAATGTGGTTTGTCAGTGTGTTGGGGTAGAAAAAATTGATTAAAAACTGCTGATGGAAAATAGCAAAATGGACAAATGCATGCTATATAAGGCTATATAGCAGATAAACGACAGGATGCCTGCTTGTATTCACAGCAGAAAGAAAAAACTGTCAACTTCATTAAATAATCAAGGTATAATGAATGTGCTAAACTGCTAGTTAATTTACTCTCACATTTTGAATTATTGCCACAAAATGCTAGAAAACAAGCCTGATAAACTTTATAGCATTCTGGCAAAGCAAGCGGGCCACTACAGAAGCGAAGTTACTTGGGGTCAACTTTGTATGTTCTGTTAAGATAAGCTAGTTACCATTCTTCTTTTCAAATCATTTTGTTCAGCAAAGTTCCCTGTTCACAAGGCATCTGGGAAATGAGACACATATGGAAAAAAAAAAAAAAACTAATACAAGGTAGAAAGCGATGTTTCCTCAAATAAATATGGAGTGCCAGGGACACTCATAGGTGGGATCGAAATGACACCCGGGACATCCGGTTGTAGCAGAACATCAAGCAAAGCCCCATTAATCTCTAGACTTCTCAACTCTTTTCTCAAGCAGTAAAGCAATTATTGATGCTTCGGGATAAGTTAGACACTGCCTTTTGGCAGTACTGTTATTTTTTAAAAGGTGTTATTTAGCCTTCTCAACGTGTGATTTTAAGTGTCTTAAACGTAAACTCGTTACATCTCGGAGCCATAAATTACTCTGTTGGCGCACCTTCCCCATCAGAGAGTGGAAATTAGTTTGAGAAAGAGGTTATTCTGTTTTACTCCATTCAGGCATGTGTTTTCTAAGTTGTTTCCAGCTGCATATGTCGGCTACTTAATACATATGGAGAAGTTATTTAGGGGTTTGGAGGAAAGTTAGGGATAACTTCTATTCCTCAACAAGCATTTGGGCAGCAGATGAGTAAGTGAGATAGATATGCAGTTCAAATGTGGGTGTGCCTGCACACACACACACATACATTCACTCATACACAGCTGACTTGGAAGCTGTGAGGATGAAGGTGGTGGGGGACTCAGTGCCCACTAAACTACTTCAAGTGCCTGCATATATGAGGCTGGATTTAAAGCCTCCAGCATGCTTAGAGTTAATTCCTATTAGGTTGGACTCCGCCCCTCTCTCCCAAAGGTAAAGCAAGGTTTTCAGTCATCACTGCAAAGAGCAGCTGGGATTCCCATCTCCTTCTGACAAGCTGTGAGAAGTTGTTTCTCAGATCTGAGTCTGAAGAGAGGGAACAAGTCAATCAGCCTTCGTGGTCAGAAGGTAAATTTGCAACTTGGGCCAAATGCAATTGAAACAGCTGGATAAGAAACTGCTTTGCTTTTCCTTTGCTCAGCCCCTCTTCTTGCCTCCTTTCTCAGGCTTCCTGTCCTTTGACCTTACAGCTCAGAGAAGCGGCTTTTTTTGTGTGTTTTTTTTTTCCCAAAGGCAGCCTGGTTCGTCTTTCCTTCCTCATAGTCTGTTGTTTGCACAGAGACTAAGAGGAATCAGGCTGGGTTTTTATTTCATATTGACATGGTCTGAGGATGTAAGGGTTAAATGCTAGTTGGTTTCCCCAGAAGAAGTGGTAGCTCAATTAGAGGAAATGAATGTCTGTAGGAGTGGAGGGTTCTGTTCTGACCTGTCTATAGAAGTAATAGTGGATATGGTTTTCTGATGTGCTAGACTGATCTCTTAGACTTGCCTAAATTGAAGTTATGGGACTGAAATGGGGTGATGGCATTAAATTGAAATGCAGATGTTGAAGGCATTCAGGCTGGAAATTAAAGATTGTATTCTTCAGTAAATATCTGTGAGTTCCTACTATGTGCCAAGAATGTTGATTTCCAAAAAAAAAAAAAACCTGAAATAGTTTAACTATAAATCCATTCTTAAAAAGAACACTGGGACAAGTGGTTACATTTTGTGGTGGAAACTGAAAGCAGAAAGAACCCTAGAGGTGAGGAGACATCACTGGTTGGTTGGGGGAAAGGGTGGAGAGAAGAGCGATGTTCTACTTCTTTGGTGACTTCAAGTCTTCTCTATTACTTATGGGAGAATGGAGCCTTCTCTGGTAGCTCCAGAGAATTGACACTTATCCTCGTGTTAGGTAGACCACAGAGGTTATTTCACTTGAACTTTACATTTTACTATCTCCATTTTATAGATGAAACTGAAACTAAGAAGTTTTAAGTGATCCTTTCAAGTTTATAGAACCTATAAGGGACAGAACTCAGGACCCTATCCAAGATCTGATCCCAAAATCTGGACTCTTTTCTACTAAAATAGTATTTTGCAATCATTAATTTCCATCACAACCAATTGAAGATCTTTAAAAATGCAAAGCCCATACACAAATTATAATTCAGTGAATTTTAGGAGTGTAATAGTCTGCATTTCGAACAAGCATTGAAGGTGATTCTGAAGCAGAGGGTTTAGGGCCCTCATTTTAAGAAACACTCTTAGCATGCCTTGCTGCCTCTCATGTCTGCTAAAGTTGTTGGAGAAGCATTTGAATTACCTTCTACCTACACTGTTTAGATTTACTAAATGCAGATGGTTGGCTGTGATGGCATTTTATTCCCTGATGAGGCCATGAGTAGAGGAACTACTGGGGCAAAAATAGCAGGACTGGGGCTATGAACTTAAGGGTGTGGAGAGATGGTTTATCAGTTAGCTCATTGTTGGTAGGACTTAACAGTGTCTTGCCAGAACAGATTGGTAGGAGTAGTTTCTGTTAGAGGTGTGAGATAGGACCCCTAGCCAACCAACCGAGCACTGAAGGTGGTGATACCTGTCCACGCAGAATGAGAATAGGAATGAAGATCTCTAATTGGCACCCCATTTTCCAGAGCACAAGACAAATGGGGAGGTTAATGGGGAGCATTCTTTTTTCAGGGAAGGGAGAAGCTCATATAAAATTTAGAGAATCATTCTAATCCTTACCTTTCTAACTTCAGACTTTGGAGAAAGGAAAGAGATCAGGACCTGAAACAGAGGTTCTTTTTATGGGCTCTTTCTGTCTCTGTATGGCATGGCCAACTTTATTATTTAGAATTGGCTTTCTATGTTGTCAATGATTTGGTGGTCCTCTTTCTCCACTTACTCTCTGGCATTCTGTCTTCTAATACCTTATCTGCTTGTGATCATCTCCACCTCAGGATGAAAAGATGCAAATAAATAAACAAACCCAACACAGTTAGTTTTGCTAATCTTTCAATCACAGGATAAAAGAAGAGGGAAGGAGGTGGAAAGCTTAGAAAGAGGATCAGCAAGTGTGAAAGCTGAAGAAATGTTATCCAAATAAATTTAATTAAAAAAAAAGAGAGAGACAAAGCTTAGGTTAAAAGTGAGGTCTTCTTAAGCAGAGAGTAGAATGGTGGTTGCTAGTGGCTGGGTGGAGGAGAAAATTAGAAAATGTTGCTCAATGGGTGTAAAATTTCAGTTAGGCCGATGAATAAATTTTAGAGATTTTCTGTACAACTTTTTGCCTGTAGTTAACAATATGGTGTTGTGTACTTTAAAACACATTAAGAGGATAGATCTTATATTAAGTGTTCTTAACACACACACACACACACACACACACACACACACACACCACAAAACAACACAAGGAATTTTTCGAAAATTATAAATATGTATAGTACCTTAATTTTGGTGATGGCATTACAGATGTAGGCATATTTCTAAACTCATCAAGATGTATACATTAAATATATACAACTTTTTCATATATTGATTATGCCTCAATAAAGCTTAGAAAAGTGAGATCTTCAAGTCATCAAGACACAAATGAGAAATAAAGCCCTCAGAGTAGCTGTATCATGAGATAATTTCAAGCATAGGAAAACCTGGAGCAATTTTCTTCATGGGGATATACAGAGTAGGAGAAACTTCTGAGGGACTCAAGTGGCCCAAAATATTGATAGAAATGTTTGAGAAGTGGTAATAGATACTTCTTGAGGTTATGTCTGAGACAGAATGATCTAGAATGGTCTGACTGCTTATATTCCCAACTTGATACAAGTAGTCACATTGGCAAAGACATTTCTCTGGAATAGGACTCTATTTATGCACTGGAAACATATACCTGTTTATTTTGCTCATTTCCTAGCGAAGTCTCAATACTGAGTATGATGTATTTGTAACAGAGTCGGAAGATAGGCAATGCACTCTATCCGGGGGCATGAGGAGAAAGACCTGTTCATATTCCTTTGCCCAAATCAGTGCCAACAAAGCAGCTTCTTGCAAATCAGTCCAAACCCAGCAGTCTTACATTTTCCTCAGCACCTGCAATTCAGAGATTCTCTTTGCTGACCACTTCATTTTCCGGTCATTAACTCAATGGCTGCGTTGCCTAGACCTTATTACCCTTGGTAAGGTAGTGCTTTCTTAAGTCATATGTTGTATAACAAGCTCAGTGGGAGCATAAGGATTTGATTCTCTTTTTGTGGGGAATGGGGAGGAGGGAAGATAGAGGAAGGATTTTGTTTTTCTCCACCAGGAAAAATATAACAGCAATGTTTCCAGTTTTGCTGATACTAAAGTACCCACATATGAGTAGGTACACATGAGAGTAAAAAGGTGAGAACAAATGATTAAAGACTGGGCAATGAGTCACCACAGGGAGAGATAGAGTACTCGTTTTGGGAAATAAGGCTAACAAGAAGCTAACAGCAATCTGAGTTGATGAAGGGCTCTCAACTGGAAGATAGCGGCCAACCTGTTCTTCATTCCCTCTGAGGACCTGACCTAAGGAATTGGTCATGAATTACAGACAAAAAGGTTTAAACAAGACATATCAAATGATTTATTGACAATTGGAGTTGTTAAACTACTGAGAAAAATTGTAGAGTCCCTTTTTTTAGAGTTTTTTTAAAAGCAGTAAAGATAACCACTCGACATGTACAGCTTAGGAAGGCTTCCTGTTTCATATAAGTTGAAGTGATCTGTGTTAGAATGCCTATCATATCTCTAAAGATTAGTCAACATTAGTCTTTAGTAAGGACAGTAAATTTAGAACAGACTTCAAGCTTCCACTCCGATTGTTACAACTTTCTGGCTGCACTCACTGCATCTCATATAACCATTCTCAGAAAAAGGCGTGTGACCCTTTTAGGATATGGAGAAACTAAGGGTTGAGGAACCATATAACACTAGAGAGGTCAAAAACAATTCTATCAATATCTAGTTACTGGACCACTCAGGAGGAGTACCAGAGTGAGTTCTTGGTTTCTAAAATCCAGTGTGGCTATATGGCTAGACATTCCAGGAGAGGGACACAAAGCTATTACATACATGAAATATTCAAGAAGAATAAAGATAGACTAAAGTATAGCATTGTGTGTCATTTTTATTTATGTGAACACAAAGAGATTTGGCTAGTCCCTGGCAGTGAACTTGGATTACTTTGGAGGATGTTATGAAGAGAGGCTACACATTGCAGGAGATGCAGGAACTAAAAGCATTTACTTGAATATACTTCCTTATCTGGCACATGTGAACATGTAGTAGTGTGCATGCACAGATTCCATATGGACCATGGCCTCACTATCCAGCCACAGCAGAAGCTGGCCTGGGGCTTATTTTGTACTCAGAAAATACTGAGTCATTGGATCCCTGAGACTTCATCCTTAACTACATGAGGTCAATTCTATGATACAGAAAGCTTTACATTTAAAATATATAGGCTTTCTATCCATTAATTCCATGGTCACTTTTTAAAAATTACATATATATTTTTTTATTTTTCAAATATAGTTGGCATAAAATATTATATTAGTTTCAGATGTACAGCATAGTGATTAGACATCTAAATAACTCACAAAGTGATCACCCCAATAAATATAGTATCCCTCTGCCCCCTTGCATATTTGTTACAATATTATTGACTATATTCCTTATGCTATACCTTATATATCCAAGACTATTTTGTAACTACTATTTTGTACTTCTTAATCCCTTCTCCCTTTTTCACCTACCCTGCAACAGTCCACCCATCTAGTAACCATCAAAATGTTCTCTATCTGTGAGTTTGATTCTGTTTTACTTGTTTATTATGTCCTTTAAATTCCACATGTATGTGAAATCATATGGCATTTGTCTTTCTCTATCTGACTTACTCCACTTAACAAAATACCCTCTAGGTCAATCATGAAATACCTTTTTCTATTCCTTTACTTTTAGTCTGTGTGTGTCTTTTAATCTGAAGTGAGTCTCTTGTAGGCAGCATATGTAAGGGTCTTGTTTTCTTCTCCATTCAGCCACTCTGTCTTTTGATT